CGCCAGCGGCTCTCCACATGGTGCGTTGGGCGTGGGATGGCGCGGAGGGGGGTGGGAAGGCAGCTCGAGCCTCTTCCTCTTCCGGGGGATGGCAGCTCGGGCTCGTAGGGTTTAGGGTTTAGGGTTTAGGGTTTAGGGTATAGGATTTAGGGTTTAGGGTTTAGGGTTTAGGGTTTAGGGTTTAGGGTTTAGGGTTTAGGGTTTAGGGTTTAGGGTTTAGGGTTTAGGGCTTTGCGCTCAGAGAATCTAAGACCTAAATGGGGCTGCTAGAGGTTTGCGACTTGGTGCTGAAGAGACTTGTTTTAGGTAAGGGGTAGCTCTGAGCAATGTTCGTTACAAGTCGGGTCACTGTAAGAATCGCCCTGAACCGAGTTTCCAGTACGCCTATTTCTGACTTCCCACGAACCTTTAAGTATCATCTCACAACTCACATGTGGCTGCAGCACTGAGGCCGATGCAGGGAAACGCCATCCAGCCATCAATGTCTGAGAGGGTCTTGGCTCCATCTTTGGGGAAATCTTACCTAGGGGACCGAGACAAAACCCTGCACCCTTAAGCCTTACATGCGGCCTATATACATGCAAAAGTAAAAGTGACCAGCCCTCCCCTACCCTAACACCGCAAGCTCTTCTCCCTTAAACTCAAACATGTCATTTTCCATTGGGGCTTCTTGGGAATACTACACCCCCTAGTCTCCACATACCCAAGCGCCAGAAACTCTGAAGGCCGAGCGGCCTGATCCATTAGCCCTACGAAAAAATGTCCTTGATACTGCAAGCCCCGCATAACCGCCATGAACACCCAAAACCCAAAACCCAAAACCCTAAACCCTAAACCCTATAACCCTAAACCCTGAACCCGAAACCGACACTAAGCCTACGCCTTTGGCGGCTCCGGCCCTTGATCCAGAGCTGCAGCAGAGAGGCAGCGGCAATGCTTTGCAAACCGCCATGGCTCCACATCTACTCTCCATGATGATGGTTTGCAAGGTAAGTGTCATTTCGGGCAGGGTTCAGAAAGGCGATTGAAAAAGTTATCCTTCTTGCAGCCCTTTCTTGAAGCAGCTCCCCAAACAGTGTGCCAACACTAGGGCCACTAGAGGGCAAAAGGGAGTTAGATTGAGTTGCACGCGGGATGTCCGCAATACATGACAAGCACGTGGATTCCTGCCTTTTTAGGTCGTTGGTAGTTTCGCTGCGTGTGGCCCAGGGCATGTGCAATTTGCGATGCTGGAAATCGCGTTCCCGCCTAGGCTCCGTGCGCATGCATGTAGCCCAACTTGTACCTGTTGTCGGTTTTGGACGTCTGGGTTCGCAAACTGCGAAATGCGAATGAAGCGTAGTCCTTGAAGTGCTCTTGTTGAACTCTTCGCATGCTCCCGGGGTTCTCCTCACCTCAGGCATCTTCTTTGAGCAATGGGATGTTGTGTGGAGCGTTTGGAGTGTCTTGCCGTATGTTTGGAGTATCCTTGGCATGCTCTTCCGATCACCCGCTGTACTCAAACTTTTTCTTGGAGAGGAGCTTCTCAGTTCGAATGGCTTCGTTCCCCTGTTTTCCTTCTGGCTCCAACACAAACAGGCTCCTTAAGATCCCTTAAAGGCTTCAGCCTTAGAGGCTTGGGCCCAGAGAATCCAGGAAACTAGAACTTCTTTACCAACCGTAATCTGAGTATTCTTAGTATGAACATTCTTATTACTAGTAATAATATTAGTGATATGATTTTCGGTCACCTTGCGAACGAGGCCCCAAACCAAATTTCGTACCAGCCCGATTTTGCGGCTTTAAGCGCCTTGGCTTCAGCCCAGGAAGGCAAGAACGTTTCAGGCCCTAAGTTCTTGTTGACAGAGTTCAGGCTTGAAGGGCCTTGGCTTCAGCACAGGCCCCCTGCTCCTCGTCCGGGACGGAGGGAGGAGGAGGGGAGGGGCCTGCTGCATAGTCATAAAGCGAGCAGAACGGTGCCATAAACCTTGCAATTCTCGGCAGTGAATTGCATCCCTCTTGGGGCCCCGTTCCCCAGGCATTCAGACAAGGGTTTAGGGTTTATAGGGTTTAGGGTTTATAGGGTTTAGGGTTTAGGGTTTAGGGTTTAGGGTTTAGGGTTTAGGGTTTAGGGTTTAGGGTTTAGGGTTTAGGGTTTAGGGTTTCTGGTTTAGGGTTTAGGGTTTAGGGTTTAGGGTTTAGGGTTTAGGGTTTAGGGTTTAGGGTTTAGGGTTTAGGGTTTAGGGTTTAGGGTTTAGGGTTTAGGGTTTAGGGTTTAGGGTTTAGGGTTTAGGGGCTAGGTGACTAGAGAGCTGTCGTGTCGTCTCTGCTCCAAGCACCTTAACGGCATCCAAGTTCTTGTGCACCGTCTTGCTGTCGACCCTGCATGGTCTGTCCAAGAGTGCCTCTAAAACCCTGAGGCACTACACGTAAAACCCCACACAAAACTAAGGCCGTTCCCACTTGTAGTGACCCATTTTCGCCTGCCACGATGCAGGGAACATCCTGCACAAACCTGGGTTCAGGGCTTAGGGCTTAGTGTTTAGGGTTTAGCAAGAAAGAGGCTAAACCGGCAGATTCGGGGACACTGGACCCGCGGGTCTAGAGTGGTGCAAAAACACAGCGGTGTGACAAAAAACAGGCTGTTCTTATAGAGACCATAACAAAAAAGAGACCATTGGAAAAAAGTGTCCCATACAAATGATGACCCACTAGAACCACCCCTTCCAAGAACGATGATAGTTCTTTTGTCGCGCTGAGTCAGCTCGGCTTGTGGACTGCGAGCTTTGCAAGCCCTGGCAAATCTATGAGGCAAAATGTGGCCGAGGAAAGCCGCACGCGCCCTCCTTCCCGCAAATCGGAAAGGCGAGGCTCTTATATTTCGAGGATACAGTGACGATGAAGCCGAATACCGCAGACTGATTAACCGCGTCTGCCTTGCTGGCACCGTTGCGCAGCTTCATCTGTTTAGGGTTTAGGGTTTAATTAGGGTTTAGGGTTGCTTGACAATCTGAGTAAGCATGAATATGTGCAGCTTCCTCGACCAGGCTGTAGAAACGAAGAGAATCGTCGAATGTCCTGCTCTCTTTGGGACGGGCGAATGGAAAACGATCAAAAACCCGCGCCAGCCATGCCCTCCACGGATTTGGGCTTGGGGTTTTAGGTGTACTTGAATAGAGGCGTGGGCTTCGTGGCCTGTGGGGCAGCATAGATATTTCCAGAACTTAAACATAAGCACCAAGAAAGAGTGGCCGGCTGCCAACCCTGCAAGGACAAATCTAAGGGTCCCATATTATGTTGGCTGGGGTGGCACAATGACCTTTAATTATAAACTTAGCACTAGACTCTTTCTTGTCCCCTTTTACACCCTGAACGTCCCCAATCCCCAAATCCCTCTGAAACCCTGAACAACACCCCAAATCCCTCACCCTACACCCAGCACCGCCCTACGTAGCCCTTAACCTTGCACCCCACCTAGAGCAGCCCTGTGCACAGATTCTGCAAGGGTTTCGGGACTTTAGTGGCTCAAGGGGAAGGCATCTTCCCTTCTGGGATGTCGCTTAAGTTGCCTTCTAGCGGTCGCATCCCCCAGCTGGGTGCGGGGCCCTCTCACGAACAGGACAATTGGGGTCCCTTCAGAACCCGCGGCTGAGTAGAAAAGTAATGTTACGCTCCTTCCCGCCCCGGGAAGGAGGTCGCGAGGACAGCGATGATCAGGCTTTAGAGGCTCCAACTCTTCTCGTAGCAGTGAACCCCGAGCCGACCACATCTACAACCCTAACGCTGTGAAACCAGAATCAAACCCTAAGCTCAGCACTTTTAGGGTTTTTTTGGCCTTAGGGTTTCGAATCTAGGTTTTGAATTTAGGGAGCATCTTCGTAAACGCTTGGTTTTTTTCCTCTCTGAACAGAGTGCTGCATGGATTTAAGGCCAAGGCCGCTTCCGAACCTTCGCCCACAGGGTGGCACTCTGCAAAATTTAAAAACGCCGCCCTCGCTCATGGGATGCCCGAGCCTGGTAACATCTGGCTGGTTCTTAGTAGGGAACAAGGGGTTTTTTAGGGTTTAGGGTTCAGGGTTTTTAGGGTTTAGGGTTTAGGGATGAGGGAATGAGGGAATGAGGAAATGAGGTACCCTATGTAATCTCTTGAAGGGTATATACAGGGCCCTCATTCCCTCATTCGCTACTAAGAACCAGGGGGAGAACCATGGGGACGTTTGGTGTTTGGGGCCTTAGGCGGCTTAGGGTTGAGTACCTACCCATGAACTGTCAAGTAACCCTGAGCCCCCGACCTCGAGAGTTCGAAGGCCAAGCCAAGGTTTAGGGTTTAAGGTTTAGGGTTTAGGGTCTATAGGGTTTCTGGTTCATAGTTGGGATAGTAATAAAATTTTAAAATTTTATTCCTTATTGAGTTTAAGTACCCTTAAAAATGTAAAATGTTACCCCACTATGATAGAGGTTTAGGGTAGCCGGGCTCCAGGCCCAAACACATCCACACCAACCCAAGACCAAAAACCCTAAATTCAAGTCTGAAACCAAAGGGATTGGGGAAAGGATCGCTTTTTCTGTTTAGATCCCCAGGTAAGTATTTAAAGGATAGGATTAGGGGGACCCTTGGGGATATAGACCCTCTGATTGAGGTCCCTGCTTAAGAGCCACAAGAGGGTTCAGAAGGGTTCCCGTTTAAGGGTCCCCCTTATCCTACCTAGGAGTATGAGGGAACACCGTTCTTGCACAAGAATGAACCAAGGGAAAACAAGGACCACGGACCAAAATCGACACAAGGGCCCTAAGAGTGAGGAGCAGTAGGGCTGCAGTGTCCTTGAGGGTTTAGGGTTTAGGGTTTAGGGCTTAGGGTTAGTGATCCCGAGTACATGAGTATGCCTGAGCAGGAAAACCCGATATCTGAGCCTAAGTTCAGCAACAAGAACCAGAACCCAGGGACCTAAGCCCCGAAACCTCAAACCCTAAACCCCGCCGACCACGCCTCACCCCGCTCGGCCCACAACTCATTTTCATGTTCAGGCCTCATGCTGATTCGCTGGTGTAGCGACCGAGAGGGTCAACAAGCATTTGGAGTTTAGGTTTAAGGTTTGGGCTTTTGCCTTTTGAATGGATGTGTTGCGTCTAGGGATCTAAGACGATTGGGGTGTGGGTGCGCCAGTTCTGGACGCAGGCCATGCTGAATCTTAGGCAGACCTAGCGTCAGGGACACCTTTCAATACTCATGAGACATCAAACCTCGGGCCGAAACCAACAACCTCATAGAGGACTGGCTATGACATCAATCCGTATGAATCGGACCACCAGCACCACCAGCACAAGCACCACCACCAGCACAAGCACAACCAGCACAAGCAACACCACCAGCCACCACCAGCACCCACCTCTATCTGCAGGAAGTCAAAAACTCTCAGGGGGCGTCGTCGCGCTTGCGGCCGCACTTGCGGCAGAAGAGAGAGTCGTCCATGTAGACGTTGCCGCAGGCAGGGCAGTTGGTCTGTCAAAGGATCCATATGGGGGGGGCTGTGGGATGCTGCATGTGGCCATCCTTCAGTCCTTGGGGATTTTTGGTTTAGGGTTTAGGGTTTAGGGTCTAGGGTCTAGGGTTTAGGGTATAAGGGCTGGTATACAACCCTGAATGACCTGACAGAACTGTCTGAGCAACTACCTCCAGCACTTAGGCACCACGGGTTTGGGTAGAAGCGCAAGGCTGCGTGACGTACACCAACAAGGTTTGCAGCCACAAAGGCCGATGGCTCTGGTTTGTAGACTTGGTAGACAACTACAGGACGGATCTTCCATACCCTCTTCTGCTCCGCACTAAACATGCCTGACCCCTGCTGTGGAGTCCTCTCAAAGCCTGGACTTCAAGCTTCCCCCTCTTGCCGATGACATCCCTGAATGCTTAACTATCCAGTTCAGTCATTCCGCAAGTAATGGGAGCTTATGTGTTTCGTGCTCCCCCGCCCAGGGGCCTAGGACTAGCCATGGTCCCGAAGACCTAAAGCCCTCTAGCTCCATAAGGCCTGAAGCACAGAGTTCGGGTTGCATGTCGCATTTAAGGCTTGGGTTTTAGTTTAGCTGGGGTGCTACTCAGCTACGTGTGAATTACGTAAATTACCAACAGAAGGAAACCAAAGAGAACAACACCTGACCCTAGCACCTTCATTATGAGGACTTTGCCCTGGAAATAAGACCCAGGAGTTTTTGTGTGATAGTCATAAGGTTTGCCTTTTTGGAAGTCGGGGCAACCAAATAGCCATAGTGGCCCTAATCTTACACCCACAACCCTAAACCGCAGGCTTTACCCAACATAGTCCCCGTGATCGGACCCCTGGACAACCGCAATCACCCTTGTCCTTATTGAAATACTAGACAGACTAGACAGGGCCCGTCACGTATATCCCGTAATTTCATACCTTTAACGGAGGTCTATATCTTTTTGGGGACCCGTCAAACAGGACAACCCCGACCACAATCGTATCCATTCAGTGTTCAAGTTCGGGTTCTAGGGCTTATCATGGGGGGGTTCTACCTTGAACCCCCTCAGGGAATGTAAGCGCCACATTAGGAGCGTATCAAGGGAACCCCTTAGGGGCCACATCCTGAAGGGGTCCGAGTAGGACTCCCTTTAGGTTTAGGGTTTAGGCTTTAGGCTTTAGGGTTTAGGGTTTAGGGTTTAGGGTTTAGGGTTTAGGGTTTAGGGTAGAATTGCCAGCCTGGCCCATTCCGCCCATGCCGCCCTGGACCGGCTCCATCGGCGCATCCTGCTTGAGGGCTCCGGCTCAGGGTTTGGGACCCTAAACCCTGAACCCTACACCCTAAACCCTAAACCTTGAACCCTGAACCCTGAACCCTGAACCCTAAACCCTAAACCCTAAACCCTAAACTGAAAAAACGGCCGCTTCAAGGATGGTGCAGACGTCCTAAACATGCTGAGAGTCCTGGAGTCGAACCACCCCAACCGTAGACCCTAAGCCCTAAGCCCTAAACCCTAAACCCTAAAAACCCTAAACCCTAAACCCGCAACCCCTAAATCCAATGAATCCCGAAATCCCCAGACCCCACATCCGAACCCGAAGCTGCCCTTTAGGGCTTATAGGGCTTAGCCCTAAACCCTAAACCCTAAGCCCTAAACCCTTTTTACAAAAACAACCCGAAGCCAGCAAACTTTCCGGGACCCGGGCTCCAACCGGCTGCACGCCACCCGACCTCATGGCCGCGGCGAACCTGGGGGGCCAAGAGGGGCTGACGGTAGGGCTCGAATGCTGGAGACAAGAATGACACACACACACACAGAGATATATCTTTATATATACATACATATGTATACGCATACATACATTCACATATATATATATATGCTGTAAAGATAGGTAGGTAGATACAGGGATGCATAGACAATAAAGAAGAAGGCAGCTTAAGTAGTAATCCTTGTTCCTACGACCATTGCTACTGATTTATATTTTTCGGTGCGGAGCGAGAGATTCATGCTTTGAGGCGGCTTACGGGAAGACGCTGAGTCGCCAGAACACAACATAACAGAGTACACGCGACAGAGCTCATGCGGACGACAAGCATCCCCAAGGCGCTTAAGGCCTTAAGACCTTAAACCCGAAATACAACCCCAGGGTTTAGGGTTTAGGGTTTAGGGTTTAGGGCTCCCCTCCCTGTGGGTTTACTTGCAACGCAGGTCCGTTGGAGGTGTCTGCGCATTTTCTCTCTTTTGGGGGGGTGTGGGCGGGTGGGGTTTGGGGGGGCGGGGGATCCCATTATCAAAACCATTAGAAGGGCCTGCTCGATTTCATGCACTTGGGCCTCTGAAACTTGCGCTGTAGGGCCCCTCTGAAAAACGCCGAGCGCGCACTGGGATGCTAAGTGTGCATGCACATGAAGTCCTTGCATGAATCTGTATGTGCACAGCGAGTTCAGCGATTGCTGCATCAGGCCAAAACAAAACATCGAAGGACAGCCCAGAACATGTCCCCAAACGTGTTAGCGAATTTGAAGTTCCTTCACAACAACAGACATGCGCCCTGGAATGAAGCGAACAAGCATGTCTTTACAAACTGCATTGCGGCTCGGTGGCTCGTCGCGGGACACAACTCCATCATTGTTGGTGTCCTTCGGGGAGGGAGGTGATTACTACAGGGGAAGGGTTTAAAGTTGAGGTCTTAGGGTTTACGGCTTTAGGGCTTAGGGTGTAGGGTTAGGATGCCCAGCCACAAACAATAACTGAGACCAGATCTACACCACCTTGCTTGGGAAAGTTTGGGTATATAGGGTGCAGCTAGCGAGGTTAAAGTGAGCGAGAAGAATTGCAAAACACAACCTAATTCGGGCCGTCATGCTCAAAAGCCCGAAATTGCAATGGCTTTGGCGTGCTCACATTGTGAGTAAGATTCTGCAACAGATCATGCTGGCATTTTTTCACACGGACCAGATCGGTAATATGTCTTCATTCAGATAGACATCCGTCCGCGGTGCTACACAAATTTAGAAGCTCGAAGGTGCAGAACGCGGGAATGAATGTGGCGCTTTTGCACGACATCTGCTATGAACATTCTCCACCGTCATCACCCCACCTGCCGGTGAAGCCTGTACACCATCCAAAGATTCTGAAATCCTAAACCCCTAAACCCAAAAACCCACAAAAGCACAAAACCCCAAAGGGATTCCATAGTGAGACCACGGGAGCCCAGACGTCGCATTTCACGAGCCCAAAAAACAGACCAAGGCGGGGGGGCGCGATTCTCGTCGGCTTAGGGTCTAGGGTTTTAAGTGTTAGGGTTTTAGGGTCTAGGGTTTTAAGTTTTAGGGTTTTTAGGGTCTAGGGTTTTAAGCTTTAGGGTTTTGTAGGGTCTAGGGTTTTGAGTTTTAGGGTTTAGGGTTTAGGGCTTCGAGAATAACCACAGGCTCCAGGCCGCCACTCGACCAAGCCCCTCTTACTCTACATGTTGGAACCCGTTGGTGTTGACACACTGCTTGGGGGAGTGAAGGGTTAAGGGTTTAGGGTTTAGGGTTTAGGGTTTAGGGTTTAGGGTTTAGGGTTTAGGGTTTAGGGGTACCAGAAACCCTCTGATAAGGACCGCAGAAACCTTGAAGTGTGCCCAGTAGACTCTGAAACCTGAGGCGGTCCATCATGGTGAAGTAGTCAGTGCCGGGGGCTCCCTGCATCACGGTGCCGGGGTACATGGTACCTGGCATGTGTGGCTTGAATCCCTTCTTCATGCTAAGGGGCTGAGACTGCTAGATTCAAGGCTTGGGGTTCAGGCTTGGGAAGGTACATCGTGTCGTGGTGTGTCAAGACAACGTGCTCGACTCGGGCTGTAATCCTGAATCCCCGAACCCTAAACCCTAAACCCTAAACCCTAAACCCTAAACCCTAAACCCTAAACCCTAAACCCTAAAACCAAAACCCTGAAACCATATTTTCCCCCACCCCCAGGCATGGCCTGGCATCGCGCCGCCCTGGCAAGACGCAAGGGTCCGAATCCCTACCTGTATTCTGAAAATTCGCAGTAATCATAATATCAAGTATATCTAATGGAAGTAAAAGAATACTGACATGAATAATATTCATAACACGATTAATATGAGTCATATTCGTTACAAGAGTACTATGAATAATAACCCCAAAACCGTAAGCTTTGGGGATTAGCAGGCCTATGACTGTGATCTCAGAAACATAGCTGAGTTCATCGTCCAAACCGCCTGGCTTAGCGTTTTAGGGTTGAGGACCCTAAACCCTAAACCCTAAACCCTCAACCCTAAACCTTGAGACAGGTGGGACTTCCTGTGTTCGCAGACTTCTCAGTGAGCCGCGGAGCTGAGTGGGCCTTCGTGATCTTGCCCAGGGTTGGGGGTTGGGGTTTAGGGTTTATTAGGGTTTTGGTTTTAGGGTTTAGGGTTTAGGGTTTAGGGTTTAAGGTTTAGGGTCTAGGGTTTAGGGTTTAGGGTTTAGGGTTTAGGGCCAATACCTTGCTAGCTGGGTACCCATGTTTTGATGGCGCCGTCGTGTCCGGTCGCTTCGCGGTGTAAAGGAACCCAGAACCCCAGAAAGGTGAGCAGCTGAAAGATATCGCTATAGACTATACTCCCCTTAGAACCTTAATAAACAAACATTTTAATATCCTCTTTGGTCTTATATGAACAAAAAATATTCCCAAGGGGGATATAGTAGAGCCCATCAGGGGGTACGCGGTCGTGCACTGAGATCTCACGCTCAGGGTCATTGATCATTCCGCTTGAACATGCCCCAAGCAGGATCGGCGGAGTCGCTGGGTTCTGGCGGGTCACTCGAAGATGAAGGTGCCAGGACTGAGGATCAACTTCTACCCTGAAGTCTCTGCTAGAGAGCGGCCAGGTGCAGCAACGTCTGCCAAATGTTTGGGGTTTGGCTGTTATCCAATTCAGGGAACGATTCTGCTTGTTGGGATCTGGGATTGTGGGCTTCGGGTTTTAGGCTTAGTAGGGCTTAGGGCAACCCTGGCCCGATTGGGGCTTGGGGGTTTCTATGCCCCGCCCTACACGCTGAACCTCAAACTCCAAGTCCTATGGACCCTGATACTCAGATCCTATGACGCGCAACGCTAGGAGCCTGCATGGTGGTCGGCGCACCATAGCCCGGAGCGTAGCCAGGCTGCGGTTAGGGGCTGCAGTTCGGGGCTTGGGAATCTAGGGCTGCAGGAGGTTCGGGACAGGGAGGGCAGGCAAGTGGTGAATGCGGGGGTACTGGCAGTTGGTGGCCATTTCCACAACTTCGGATGCTCACAACTTATGGCCCTCGGCTGGCCGAACAAGAAACAAATCAAGTTGTTGCGAGACCCGCAAGTAAATGTTTGCGAGGTCCTTCTCCTATAAGCCTTCTCAGTCAACACTCATGAGATGTTACCGGCCTGGATGGTGGTGGGAGCACCGTATGTCGGAGCGCCATAGGCAGGGGCTGGAGCGCCGTAGGCTGGAGCGCCGTAGGCTGGGGCCGGAGCACCATAAGCTGGGGCCGGAGCGCCATAGGCTGGGGCCGGAGCGCCGTAGGCAGGCGCCATCTGAGGGGCTCCCTGATTCGTCGAAGGCTTTCATTGGTTCACACCGACGACATTGCAACAGCTCTGTTTGCAATGTCGTTCTTCATCTTCAGGCCATCATACTGCACCACGCATAGTATGAGGGGTCGAACCTTCTTGCCTATTGGACAGTGCAGTAGCACTCGCACGCAACAGCAGCTACTGCTACAGACACCTGCCCCACCCTAAACAACATCAGTCCGTGATAAACTGTTGACCGGCCTCGGCCGGCGCAGTGATGGGAGGGAGGTACACCGGCTCACCGATGGTCGCTGGGCCCTGGCGCACAACGATCTTCTGAGTGATGACGTGCACTGATTGTCGTGTCCCCCTTTGCAGAAGTACCTGATTAATCACAGCTAAGGTGGCAGCGCCCCCATCGTCAAGGCAACCACGCAGCTGACACCGACTGACAAACCCTAAACCCTAAACCCTAAACCCTAAACCCTAGACCCTAAACCCTAAACCCTAAACCCTAAACCCTAAACCCTCAATTCCTACTAGCTGACTACATGCGGACGTCACACCGAACCAAGGTTAAGCCGGATTCAGGGCTTTGGGGTTTCGAATACCTGGGACCCTATTTACCTACAGATGACTAGGTAAGTACCCCCTATTTTTGTAGGAAAACACTTAAAGATGATGATAAGTACCCCCTATTTTGTAGGAAAACCCTTAATAAGATGTAGGTAGATAGGGTCCCAGGTTTTTGCAAATTGGGGGGGTCTAGGCGCTAGTCTGCGCAGATCTAGGTGTCCGAAGGGAGGTTCTTGCGTTTTCCGGTCTACTTTCAGAGCAGACACACACACACACACACACACACACACACACACACACAAAAAAAAAAAAAAACTACCCTTTTTGTAGGTTATTACGATAAAACCCCATATAGGCTTGGTAGGCAACCTACAAAAAAACTTTTGGGTTCTTAAATTGTTCTTAAGGTAGATGCGAAGTATAAATACACAGAAGCCCACAGGATAACCAGAGGGCACCTGCATCGGCGCGCCGTAGGTCGCCGGGGCCGGGGCCATCTGCATCGGCTGGCCCCCATAGGGGCCCGGTGCCATCTGCCCTGGGGCCATCTGCATCGGTGCCTGCAAGGACTGAGGGTTTAGGGTTTAGGGTTTAGGCTTTAGGGTTTAGGGTTTAGGGTTTCAAATATTCTGGTACTGTCCTTGGAACCCCTCAGCTCTATACCCTCAGACCCTGAAGCCGTAGAACATGAGCCCCCAAACCCACCAAAATTGCAACCCGAAACCAGAACAACCCTACTTACAACCAAAGCCCTCTTGGGGGAGGTCTCTCCCAGAATCTTGCAAAAGCATGTACGCCAAGACGCTTAGAAACGAGTTAGGATTGAGGGAAATGGGCTTCAGGGCAAACACCCTGCTCGAGGGTCCTAAACCCTAAACCCTAAACCCCAAAGCCTCAACCCTAAGCCCCAAACCCTCAGGCTTCAGAGCCTGGTTTAGAGGACATCGCTTTTTGGCAAAACCCAATGCCTATTCAGGGCATCGCATGTGTGAGCCCCGATGCCCTCAAGCCCTCAAGCTTGAGACCCTTACCCAGGAGGGTTTAGGGTTTAGGGTTTAGGGTTTAGGGTTTAGGGTTTAGGGTTTAGGGTTTAGGGTTTAGGGTTTAGGGTTTAGGGTTTAGGGGACAGCCCCTACAAACCCTAAAGCCAACGCCCTGAACCGGGCGCCTCCGCTGGGGCGGTCATGGGTGGCAGGTAGACAGGCTCGCCAATCGTGGTGGTGCCAGGCACCTCTTGGCGTGACTACCGTGAGCTATCGTGAAGCTGGAGTATGGCGTTCAAGGCCCACCTAGAGGCGCAACACCTTGAAGTAGCAGGGTTGTAACATTTGTTGCAGTTACAGGTAAACCCGACTCTGCCAAGACTCAACGCCCCCCAGAAGCCCCGAAAGGGTTTAGGGTTCTGAAGGTCAGGGCCTTCGCGCCTGCGTTGCCGGAGCATAAGTCGCAGGCGCCATCTGCCCCGGAGCGCCGTAGGCTGGGGCCGGAGCGCCGTAGGCAGGTGCTGGAGCGCCGTAGGCTGGGGCCATCTGAGGGGCGCCCTGATTCGTCGAGGCTTTCAGGTTCACAGCACAACGGCTCTTCTGAAACACCTCTGCTTGCACATTGGCTCACGGGGTGCGTTTTACACCTTCAGAGTTCCGCCATGTATACCATGAGGGGTCGAAATCTTCTTGCTTGGTATTCACTCGCACTCCTAAACGACAGCAGCTACAACCAATGGCCCCATCCTGAATCTCATCAGTCTGCTATGCCCTGTTGACAGGCCTCGGAAGGCGCGGTGATGGGAGGCAGGTACACCGGCTCACCGATGGTGGTTGTTGCGGGCGCCTGCGAAATCGATATTCCGAAGGTTGCATTGAGATCATGCACCAACGATATGGACAATCAGCAGGAACTGCAGCCGCAGCTCAGAGGAGCCTTGTTTCAGGCAAGCCCGCAGCGCCCAAACATGTACAACCGCCATAAATCCTACAAGATAAGTCAAACTGAGTCAAACTCGGTTACCCAAAGGTCTCACTGAGCCAGGGTTGACGGATTCCGGTTTAGCTTGGGGTTTTTCCCCCTACTACCCCCCTCTATACTACCCCTTCTAGGTTCCCCTACAATTAAGGTTATTTTGGGCTAATTAAGACTAATTAAGGTTATTCAAGGGGGGAACCTAGGGGGTGTAGAATAGAGAGGGGTAGTATTAGTAAAGCCTAAACCCTAAACCCTAAACCCTAAACCCTAAACCCTAAACCCTAAACCCTAAACAACCACCCCTAAACACAGCTCGCATCAGCAGAGGCCACCTGCATCGGAGCTCCGTAGGTCGCCGGGGGCATCTGCATCGGGGCCCCGTCGGTGATCATCTGCCCTGGGGCCGTCTGCATCGGAGCCTGCTGAGGCTGCTGAGGGTTTAGGGTTTAGGGTTTGGGGTTTAGGGTTTAGGGTTTAGGGTTGAGGGCTGAGGGTTTAGGGTTGAGGGTTGAGGGTTGAGGGTTTAGGGTTTAGGGTTTAGGGTTTAGGGTTTAGGGTTTAGGGTACTGCATTCGCCCTGAGCCAGTAAACTACTTTGGAACCATCTTCGGGACACTCTCAGAAGCCCTCAAACCCTGAAGCCGCAGGCCATGAGCCTCTTGGTTTAGGGTTTAGGGTTTAGGGTTTAGGGTTTAGGGTTTAGGGTTTAGGGTTTAGGGACTTCTCCCAGAATCTTGTAAAAAGGTATGCACGGCGAGACTCTTTGGAAAGAGTGGGAGTTGAGGAATATGGGGCTTCAGGACAATTTTCAGGACAACTAGGGGCTTCAGGACAACTGTGCGGCCGACATGAAGGTTTTAGTGTTTAGAGTCTATAGTTTAGGTGGCCTCTTTATCTGTTACCCTTATACCTTAATATAGCCCCGATCTGTTACCCTTATACCTTAATCTAGCCCCTAGGTACCCCAATAAGAAACCCCTACAGAACAGAAACCCTGCTTCATGAGATCACCAAGCAATATAAGGTTTAGACCCACTAAACCCTAAACCCTAAACCCAAACCCTAAACCCTCAGGCTTTAGAGTCTGGTTTAGGCCATCGCCTTTGCAAACCCCGATGCCTGGTTTGGGCATCGCTTTGTGACCTGAAGCCCCCAAGCGCGAGACCGAAACCCCGAGGCCTAAGGCCTCAGCCCCTGAAAACCCTACGAGTACCTTAAGAGCCCGAAACCTACTTTTTCTGTAGGTTATTGCTAGAAAGCCGCTGTTAGGATTCTTAGGGGCCTAAGCCCTCAGCCCCTAGGAACCCCCAAAGCCAGCGCCTCCGCTGGGGCGGTCATGGGTGGCAGGTAGACTGGCTCGCCAATCGTGGTGGTGCCAGGCACGGTGCCAGGCGCCTGCTGGCGTAACTGTCGTGAACTATCGGGAAGAATCGTGAGCTGCCGTATAGTGTTTAGGGCCTACCTGGTGGCGCAATGCTGTGAAGTTGTAGGGCTTACCAGTACAGTTACAGGGAACCCCGACTATGCCAACTCCGACGGGTTTAGGGCTGTGAAGGTCAGGGGTTCCGCGCCTGCGTTGCCGGGGCATAAGTCGCGGGCGCCATCTGCATGTCAAGCGGGGTTGGAGCTTTGGCAATCAAGGCCTCAAATGGGATTTAGAGCTTTGGTGGTACAGGCTTCAGAGTCAAATTGTTGCAGTTCGGTTTGTATAGGAATTCGGATTTGGGTTTAGGGCTGCAGGATGCAGGGTTGCCAGTGTTAGCAAGCGACGTCCCCACGAGCCTCGGCCGGGGCAGTCATGGGTGGCAGGTAGACGGGCTCGCCGATGGTGGTGGTGCCTGGCGCCTCAAAGAATGTAAATTCGGAGCCCAAAGATTCCGGGTTCCCCCCCGGCTCGAAAATATGGCCCATATGTTTGCTTAATCGAAAGATGTTAAATCACCTATGAGAATACGATGTCGGCCTTAGAGATCAAGAGGCCGTGGGAAAGTATGTAACACTACGGTCTTGTTAGCGGGGGGGGGACGTGTCTTGTAAAGATTCTGGGACCATAGCTACTATTTGCTTAAGAACCTCAAAAGAAAAAAACAATAATCCTTATGCTACCCTTCATAAGGAAGAATATCTTCGATTTTTTCGGGGTTCTTAAGCAGCTAGTAGATAACAGATGTGGGGCCTCCGTGTTGGTTCGGGCTGGAGCCTTATAAGGGTGCCACGCACCTAAATAGGAAATACTTCTGCCTCAGAGTACTTCCTATACAGGGACTGTTGGGGCCGGAGTATGTAACAGTGAGGTACATGGACCCTTATACGGAAGGGTTTGAGGGTGTGGGTTTGGATCCCCAAAGTTTCAGGGCACGGCTGGCATGGGCTGTGGGGCCCCGTAGGGTGCACCCTGCGGCTGTACTGGGACTTGTCGCACTACTTTGGTTTGTGTTGGGATTGCATGTCCCCGCTTGAGTCTATGACATGAGTTTGATTTCAGGGGGAGCAAAATCAAATCACCTATTATCAAGCCGATTCCAGTCACTATACTGATACAGGCGAAACACCTTTTACTAGGAGCGCCATATCCCAACACATAAGGGCCCGGCCGGCATGGGCTGCGGCGCCGGCATGGGCTGCGGGGCCCCGTAGGTTGGGGCCTGGCGGCTTTGAGGCTTCAGGGTTTGAAGGGCTTGGGGCGCTTAAAGGGTTTTTTGAGGGCTTAAGTTTGAGGATTTCGGAGCGCCGTATCCCAACACTCAAGGGCCCGGCCGGCATGGGCTGCGGCGCCGGCATGGGCTGCGGGGCCCCGTAGGTTGGGGCCTGGCGGCTTTGAGGCTTCGGGGTTTGAAGGGCTTGGGGCACTTAAAGGGTTTTTTGAGGGCTTAAGTTTGAGGATTTCGGAGCGCCGTATCCCAACACTCAAGGGCCCGGCCGGCATGGGCTGCGGCGCCGGCATGGGCTGCGGGGCCCCGTAGGTTGGGGCCTGGCAGCTTTGAGGCTTCAGGGTTTGAAGGGCTTGGGGCGCAGAAGGGTTTTTTGAGGGCTTAAGTTTGAGGATTTCGGAGCGCCATATCCCAACACTCAAGGGCCCGGCCGGCATGGGCTGCGGCGCCGGCATGGGCTGCGGCGCCGGCATGGGCTGTGGGGCCGGCATGGCCTGGCGGCTTTGGGGCTTCAGGGTTTGAAGGGTTTGGGGCTCACGGTTTTAAGGTTTCGGGCTTGAGGATTGTAGTTTTGAGGGTTTGGGCGCGTCACACCCAAATGATAAGTGACCGGCTGGCATGGGCTGCGGGGCCCCATAAGGATTATACTAGGGTTACCATTGCCTAGTACTGGTCACTCTTCCATGTCCACGGAATTGCTTTGCGCATTTTTTGTCGCTTGGGTGATTTGCTTTGTAGGTGGGCTGGATGCAAGCACCACAAGTTGCAGCATGTAATGTTGTTCGGAAAGTCGAGATACGGCAAATAGCAACCTTCCCAGCAACTAGCAGGAAGCTCCAAATACCGCAAGCAAAGGATTTCGTTCGAGATACCGCAGGGAAGCAGGATGAGCGGGCAACAGCATGTTGAGCCGTATACCGTTGGAGATAGGCACCCCGAAGAACTCAGAAACCCAAAGCACCGGCAATCTTTTTAGCGTGTTGAGCGATGTGGAATGTTCCCGAGGGTTTAGGGTTTAATTAGGGTTTAGGGTTTAGGTTAAGGTTTAGGGTTTAGGGTGTATCCCCCCCCACCCATGGCCTGTGGCTGGGGAGCCTGGGGAGCCTCCGTGACCTCAGTCTCGAAGCTGCTAGGGCAATTTAGGTTTAGGGTTTGGGGTTTAGGGTTTCGGGTTTAGAGTTTGGGGCTGAGGGTTTGAGGGTTTGGGGGGGGGCTTTGGCTTGGGCACTGGGCTTCCGGCCTTGGGGTTCAGGCCTTCGCAGAGTGCTTCGCTAAAGCTTCGGACAAGCACCCTGGACACAAAGAGCTTCAGACAAGACCATGTTCATTCAAGCCAAACGGCTGCGGCGGCTCATCTCATCAGCTGGGGCTTCTTAGCTTAAACACCACCACCACCGCCGCCGCCACCACCACCACCACCGCCGCCACCACCACCACCAGCACCAGCACCAGCACCAGCACCAGCACCAGCACCAGCACCAGCACCAGCACCAGCACCAGCACCAGCACCAGCACCAGCACCAGCACCACCAGCACCAAAACCACAACTTACAAAAAGAAGGAGCCCAACGCAGAGTTGCAGTACCCTCCCAAGGCCCCCACATTTCCCTGGACCACCTCCATAGGATGATCGGGCCCAGCCAGGACCTGTTGTCGGCGCTGCTGCGTAGGGGCTTTCAGGTTTCGGGGGTGTGGTGTAGGGGGATTCAGGGGGTTTAGGGGGGTTTAGGGGGGTTTAGGACGGTTTAGGAGGGTTTAGGGGGCTTGAGGGATCTGGGGGGGCGGGGGGTTGGCTTGAGGTGGTGCTTCGGGCCGAGAGCGTTAGGCTTCTTCGGGCTGGGGGTGAACGCAAGCACCTTTGGGGCGCTGGAAAGAAACCCGGAAACTTAGGGGTTAGGGTTGAGGGTTTAGGGTTTAGGGTTTAGGGTCTAGAGTTTAGGGTTTAGGGTTACAGGGGCCATTGAACTGCGTGGAGGTACCTAGAAAGCAATCTGGAAAGCAAAGTTGCAGAACCCCGCCTAGACCCGGGCCCCATGCCTAGACTAACGGCCTAGTTAAGGGACTTATCACCAAACTCATGCACTCGGGACCCTTATAACTCTAACCCCAAACACTGAACCCTGAACCCCTTACAACTAGGGGGCCCTTTCCGTCGAATGTAAGCACACGCCCACATCAAACAAGTGGACCCCAAAACGCCCAACATCATGTCATTCAAGATTGTACTGTTATTTGCTTAAGAGAAACCCAGCAAGATTCGGGATTTTTCTTCAATTCATTTATTGATTGTTTGGGGAGGAGGAGGGGGGGGGACTTCTTCAGCAAATAGTAGCTATGCGGAGGTCCTGACTCGAAGTCGGATCTCTTCCCTACTTGCCGGAGTTTCGGGCCCGCTGCGGAATTCTAGCATAACCCTCAGGCTCCAGATGGCCCAAAGTAGGTACTATTTACAGACTTTAGAACCCAACGTACCCGAGGGCTCCTGTGTAGTACCTTTTTTTGGGGTGGTATACTAGAATCCCCTATAACTAACCCAAAAAAGGAACTACATTGGAGCCTTAGGGTAGGTATTATTTGTATACTTGGAGCCCCTAAACCCTAAACCCTAAACCCCAAACCCCAAACCCTAAACCCTAAACCCTAAACCCGGGGGTAATAGGGTCATCTGCATGTTACAGCTTACCGTGGCTGTCCGTTGCGCGACTGGGCCTTGGTCCCCCAGGTTTAGGTTTGGGTTTAGAGGGTAGAGGGTAGGGGGTTGAGGGTTTAGGGTTTAGAGGGTTTAGAGGGTTTAGAGGGTTTAGAGGGTTTAGAGGGTTTAGAGGGTTCAGAGGGTTCAGAGGGTTTAGAGGGTTTAGAGGGTTTAGGTTCCGCTAGCAGCTGAAACCCTGAACCTGCAAACTGGAGTGAGGGGCGGAAAAGATACACTTCCTTCAGCTGGCCTGCTGGACGGTCTGCGTTGGGTGCTCCTACCCGGCCCACCCCTGTTCCCAAACCCTCCCCCAAGGCTACCCTTAAATAACCCTTAACCCTAAACCCTTCACCCTGAACGCTAAACCCTAAACCCTAAAACCCAACCCCCGATCTCGAAACCCAGCATGAGGCCCAATTGGGATGGCTTCGGGCGTGGGATGTTGCTGGTGCGTTGGCCAACATGGGGTTTAGGGTTTAGGGCTTAAGGTTTGGGATCTGCAGGTATACTTCTAGAAGGGGGGGGGGGGGTGATTCCTGACCAGAACTGTGCATGACGAGCAAAGGGTCAAGTGAGTTGCTAGGCAGGGCCCTACAAGAAAGGCAAAGCACCTGGAACCCTGCAACCCTGAACCCGGCTTGGGTCTCATGTTTGCTTTAGGGTTTAGGGTTTACTATACAGAACTCGGAACAAAAATTGAAATTTTTGCTGTTGCATAGGGATTGAGATTTTTGCTGTTGCATAGGGATTAAGTACCGATCAATTAAAACTTATTCCCAAGTATCCCTACGTTTAGGGTTTAGTGTTTAGGGTTTAGTGCTCTTTTGCCTGCCCATTGCACTGGAAAACCGGAGCTCTAATTTCCTTAAGTCCCCAAAGCCCCGACACCCCAAGAGTCTTTACATCTTGCTGAAGCAATGCGCACAGTAACCTAAATGGAACCTGGACACACAGACACCCAAATTGCGCTCAGTGTTTCTCCGCTGCAGGGGGCTCAGAAGTTTAGGGCCTTAAGAGTTTGGGGGGGCTAGGTTTTGTAGGCTTATAGGGGTTCACCGAAAACCCAAGACTCCCAACTCCCACCAAACCGCTAAGCCCTGAATAGCCGAGCTTGGAGGCTTACGGGCTCCGGGGCTAGGGTTTAGGGTTTGGGGTTTAGGGTTTAGGGTGTTGAAAAACAGAAGGCTTCTGGGACAAGGGTTCTTTTTGGGGAGACTTGGGCTTTTGGGCGCTAGAGCCCCGGGGGCTTGGGAGCCCGTAG